TTAAATGTATTCTGAGATGGGCTGTCTGGTTAGGATAAAGTTAGATGTCTTATAGACCAGAATCTACACTGGCCCTACATATATTTTGTAGGAAGTCAGGGAGGACCAAGATAAAGCATAAACAGGAGGGAGACATTTGATAACTGAGTTTCACAGAACATTCAGCTTCACATGGTTTTAAATATTGGTGATCTTTCTTAGGAATGGTGATCACAATCTCTTTATCAGGTATGCACAGGGTTTCTACAAGGAAAAGAAGTTTGGTGCTCCAGTTTTTTGTCCTTTGTCTGAATAGAGCCCAGAATCCTGATGTCCAATAGGGATTGTAAAGTTCATTTTTATTTCATACCACTAAATAATTCAGAGTGTTTTACAAAGCAGTGCTTTGGGAGTTTTATGTTTGTTTTTGTTTTGCCACTGATGATAATTTTTTTCACTTTCATCAGAACTCCATCACTTCACTGACTCTCGTGAGCCTCCATTAGATCTGAAGGCTTCCAACCTGCCCTCCCAGAAATATGAAGTTTGGGGACTTGTATGGCAGCTGAGCCTACTTCCTCTGATTCTATAAACGCTCAGACTTCAGCATGTTTAGTATTTTTGTTCCAGTTTTAAGGACTGTAGTTTTATCTTGCTTTAACATGAATTGGTTTTGAAGTTACATGAGACTTCCATCTTTTAGGTTCAAAAAACACTGAATGGATTTTGTTTTGATTTTTGTTGTTCCAGAGTATTGAGCCCTGAGTGAATAGAGGAAGAGGAAGGGAAACAATAAAACAGTAATTGCCCCGTCTTTTGACCCAAAGAGTAAAATAAGATAGAAAGACAGTCTCAACCAAGTCTGCAAAGCTTTTCAGTCTTATTTTTCATCCTAATTAACTTATTATTAAAGTCTCATGAGCCTCATGAATTTTCTCTCACATAAAATGGAAAAAGGGTAAATGAGGCTTTGAAGTTTGTGAAGGAGACAGTATAGCTAGAAAATTGCTTTGACCCATTTTTTTCCATTACCCCATAACAGCAATCACTTTTTGGCAAGCGTTACCTGTATGTCTCTGTCAAGGGCAGGAATGCAGCTGTGCACATCCTTTCTAGTTACTTTCTTTTCGTGCCTGAGGGCTTTGTTTTGTGAGAGGAGAGCACTGAGGTGAACGTACTGCATGTCTAACATAAATCATAGTCTATTTGACAATGTGTATAATATCTGAAGTATAAAAGCCATTTTCAGGAAATAATGGCAGTTTCTGCATCTCTAAATAGTGAAAACAATTAACTTCATGCTTCAGAACTTATCATTAGCTGGATCTCATTTTAAAGGACTAAATATTTTGAATATTTAGAGTCTGATTTGCATATCAACCATTGACCTCAGTGTGTGCTTTGGGAAAAAAAAAATTCCATTATGTCATCCTAGAGTGAAATAAAGAGTGCATCAAACCTTTAATACATTATGTAGCATGAGAAGTACCTTTCCTTGATAGTTAAAATCTCCATGCACTGCCTGAATGCCTGAGAGGATTGCATCGCTGTTAGCACACATGGGCAGCTACACCACGGTAACTCTTGGAAATAAACACATCACTTGATAGAACAAAGTGTGGCAAAAAAATATTTTTTCTTCCTGGCTGTACTGGAGAGTCTGTGACATTTTACAAAATTCCTATCATTTTGATATTCTAGTGGATGCCCTGTCTGAGATCCCCTCGTCACTGTATATCTGCAGGAAAGGCAGTGATAAAGTGAGATGAGATGTGCATCATGTTGCTTATGAGAAGATCCTGCAGTTCAACCTGGTCACACATTTTTCTGCATGGGGGCATCTATAAAGGAATGAAATTGTTCTCTTTTATTCTGTTTAGTGGGGGTTGCACAACCAGAGAGACACTGCACCGCGGACCTTGTCAACACAGTCTTAGGAGATGATGCAGTGGGGCAGATCAGGTCCTGGCACTTCAGAGTTCTCCCTGCTGTCATCCTTCTAGAATATCTTCTGTGTTATCATTTGTGACTGCCTAATTTAAAAGACTTGTCTGTAGCATGACTATCTTCAAAATAAAGGATAGTTTATATTTCTCCAAATTATAGTGCACCCAGTGCTCGATCTCTCTTCCTTTAATGAGGTTCTCACGAGTACCTTAGCAGGGCTTCCCACCAAGTTGCCTGCCTCAATTATGCTTTCTAGCATCAAGGGATTTTGTTTTGAACAGCTGCACCAAGAGAGCTTTTAATGGTGCTCTGCTTCCCTTGCTTTACTTTTTCCTGAATTCATGTCAGTACTACAACTCTGTCCTTAAACTTCTGTTGCCCCCACACACATTTCATAATCAGACTATAAACCTTATTATTTTCTTTCCTGTCTTTTTCTTCAATTAATTTTAACTTGTAAGGCAATAACAGGACTTGGGCAGTTGGAGTTACTTCTTAAATGTCCTTGTGTCGTACTAACCAGCTGACATCTGTTTTGTAATCTGTAATTATTTTATTGCATTTTATTGTATTTCCAAGAAGATCATATTGTCACAATCAAATTGTGCCATCAGAGTTTTTTCTTTTCCAGCCTCTAGAATTGGGTACAATTGGGTCATGGATGTTTTGACCAGCAAGTCCTTGGGCAATGTTCAGGGAGGAGAAAGATTGATTGTTGTTCTTGTGAGTCTTGGTCCTAAATCTTTGTTGCCTTAGAGACACCTTTTTCAAAATGTCATCCAAGCTAGAAGGGCAAAAATGCAAACCTTGAGTTTTGTTCTGGGCTCATTTTTGTTATGATGTTTGGGTTATGCTCCTTTGAAGACTTTTTCTTTCTCAGTTCAACTCTTTGATGTTGGTTATTGCTCTTGGTCAGGGTTTTTGAGAGGTTCCTTCATCTTTTATGTGCCCTTTAATGATTGTATATAGCATTTTTCTATTTGGGAAGCATAAAATGTTCAGGTTGATGTTGCATTTGTTATTCATAGTTTGTCTATGGAATGGAGCTGTGAAAGCAAAAAGCTGAGAATTAAAAAATAATTCTGTGTCCTTTCCTCTTCTTCCTTGGTCATTTGCTTTCTGAAATGATAAGCAACTTGGGGTCAAAAGGCACAGCACGTTCAAGTAGAAGACTGAGTTTAAATAAAAAATTTGTACTATTTATAACAGTAAGGAAATAAAAAAGTCTTACAGATAAAACTTGGCCCTCAGGAATCTGTCATGACTCAGGCTGCAAACTTCACACAAGCTTCTCAAATCTTGCAGAAAATAAGATACTACCGGGGCTCAGCTGTGATACACTGATCCAAATACTTTGTAAGCTGTACTCCACAGTGAATGGGAAAATGCTGGATCAAATAATAATAAAAAAAAGGTAACTTTTTTGTAGTTTTGCAGATCTGTTATGATTTGAGGTAGTGCCTTTTGTCTGTCTTTGGCTTCACTGGAAGCTGGATGAACAAGTGTTTAGTAAAATTACAGACCCAGAGAATATGCTGAGTTGCAAGAGACCTACAAGGATCATCAAGTCTAACTCTTAACCCTGCAAAGGATCATTCTCAAGAGTCACAGCATTTGCCTGAGATTACCGTCCAAATGTTTCTTGAAGTCTGTCAGGCTTGATGCTGTGACCACTGTCCTGAGGAGCCTGTTCCAGTGCCCAATCACCCTCTGGGTGAAGAACCTTTTCCTAATACCCAACCGAAGCCTTCCCTGACACAACTGGAGGCCATTCCTCAGGTTCTATCACTGGTCACCACAGAGAAGAGATCAGTGTCTGCCCCTCCTCTTGCTCTCACAAGGAAGTTGTAGAGTGCAGTGAGGTTTCCCTTCAGTCTCCTCTTCTCCAGGCTGAATAGACCAAGTGCCCTCAGCTGCTCCTCATATGGCTTCCCCTCGAGGCCCTTCACCACCCTCATTGCCCTCCTTTGGATGCTCTCTAGGAGCTCAATATCTTTCTTACCCTGTGGTGCCCAAACCTGCACACAATATTCCAGGGGAGGCCGCAGCAGTGCAGAGCAGAGTGGGACAATCCCCTGCTGCGGTGCAAATTGTCTGAGTGACCTTAAAACGCTCCTTTCACAACACGTCCCTTGCCCTGCTGGCCATGCTTTGCCTGATGCCCCCCAGCCCATGCTTGGGCCTCCTGGCTGCCAGAGCACTGTTGACTCATATTCAGCTTGCCACCGAGCAGGACCCCCAGCTTTCCAGGATCTCATTCCCCAGCATGTTCCCTACATGCAGGTTTGCCCCATCCCAGGTGCAGAATCCAGCACTTGCCATTGTTGAACTTCCTATGGTTGGTGATGGCTCAGTCATCTAATGAGTCGAGGTCTATCAGCAGGGCCTGCCTGCCTCTGAGGGAGACAATAACTCCTCCCGGTTTTGTGTCACCTGCAAACTTGCTCAGTGTCCCTTCCAGTCCTGCGTCCAAGTCTTTTATGAAGATGTTGAAGAGCACAGGGCCCTGGGCAACATGACTAGTGACAGGTCACCAGCGTGAAGTTCTCCTGGTCCCTAGTGCCATCTGTGCTTGACCCGTAAGCCAACTGCTCACCCACAGCAAACTGTGTTTCTCAAGCTGTGTGCTGGAAACTTGGTCCTGAAGGATCGCATGAGAAACAGTATAAAAAGCTTTATTGAAATCCCCAAAGATCTGGCGGGAAGCCAAATGGCCGGAGCTGAACTGGCGCTGTGGTGCCACTTGTCAGACTCAGGTGGAGGCACAGCAAGCAGGGTAATGTCCTCTGCAGAGGTTCTGCAGCTCTCCAACTCTGTCCTCATGGTGAAAGGCTTTTCCTCCAAGGCTGGACATGGGACAGACTGGGACAGCCCACTTTGGCAAGAAGACCCCCAGGGAGCTCCTGCCTGGTGCCTTTGGAATTGAGGAGATGATGCCCAGAACCAAACGCTGCTGAGAGGAGCGGTGTTGAGGCTGGGGTTTGTTGATGCGTGATGTGTCTCTGGTGGCTGTGACATCACAGCGGACAGGTCACAATGGGAGCTGTCCCTAAGGAGCACAGCAGGCAGCCCCAGGGCAGTTGGACTTGGGCGATCAGTGAGTGCAGATGCAGGGGGAAGGCTGGGATGGATGGGGGAGGGGGGAGATGCCCAGGGGGGGTGGTTGTAACCCTGAGCCAAAGCTGAGTCCCTCCCGGCAGGGCCGAGTTGTGCCCCTGGGGCCTGGCACACAGGTGCTCAGGGCTCTCTGTGTTGGCAAGTGCCCAAAGAGCCTTTGGGGATGGGCCGGCTGCCCCCGGCTCCAGGGGACGCTGTGGTGTGGCAGGGATGGGGCCAGGGGAGACTCTGCTCGGCTGTCTCTTGCCTTTTGCCGGGGCACAGCCCAGCCAGGGCCTGACAAGGAGGGTCCCGGCTGGGGCAGGGTGGGCCCTGTGCCGTCTGCAGCCAGGGGCTGCGTTCCCTTCAAGCCTTGATCCCCGTGCTCCCTCCCACCCCGAGCCGCTGGAGAAACTTGTCTCTCATCTCCTGCAGGCCATGGATTCAGCAACTGTGCTCCTCCTGGCTGTGCTGGCCATCCTGCCCAAGCGGACACAGGATCCCCAGAGCGATGCGGTCGCTGTGCAGTGGATGAAGAAACGGCAGATTTTTCTAGAGGACCAGATGACGGAGCTGTGGGAGGAAGTCGAGTGGAGGAGGGCCCTGGAAGATGTTCCACTCCTTTGGATCTTGCAGCACTGGCTCTTCTGGCTGGCTGCAGCAGCTGGGCTGGGCTGGCTGGCCTGGCAAAGGGAGGAGGCCTCTCGCCGGCGCCGTGAGCAAGAAGAGCTCAGCGCAGCAGCTGCTGCTGGCGGGCCTTTTGCAGCGCTCAGCCTGTCACCGCTGCAGGACCTGCCCTTCATGGGCCGGACCCTGAAGAAGCTGCTGCGGGACCTCCTGGAGGTGTGCCAAGTGCTGTCCCAGAACACCTTCATGCCAGAGCTGCACCTGGCCACTGGGCAGCAGGGCACCTGCATGGAGTCCTGGCGTGAGCTGGGGGACTGCACCGTCTACCAGCTGGTGCTCTTCCTCAGGCCACCCCCCTGGCACTCTTTCCGGCTGCAGCTGCCCGAGGCCATGGACGTGCCACACTCCATCCGTGTGCTGCTGGAGTGCTCGTGTTCCAGGACGGCGGGGAACATCTTCTGCTTTGTCCACCCCACCTACAGCCATCAGCACTCGCCCCTCGTGCGCACCCTCTGCACAGACTCCCACTTGGAGGTGCAGAAGGTCGCCGGCTGGCTGCCCAGACTGGTGGAATCGGCCTGGGAGCGTTTGCCTCAGTGGCACGACTGGCAGCTCCGGCTGCTGCCCTCCTCCCGCTCCTGCAGGCTCCTGCTGACCGGCCCCGGCCAGGTGCGGCTCTGCGCTGTGCTGCTCTTGGCACTGCAGCAGGGCCGCCCGGGCACCTTCCTGGTCCTGGAATAGGCAGGCGCAGCTTTCCCGGGGGCTGCTTTGGGCCGGGGCTGCGCGGCGACTTGGGAGCGCACCCAGTCGGCACGGCACAACAGACCCTTGTGCTGACTGGACTGAAGAGCAGCAGTCCTGGCTCTGTCTACTCCCAACTCCCCATGTGCCCTGCTCTGCCTTAAGCCCAGCTGCAAATGGAGCACCAGCAGCCACTCCCTCAACTGCCTTCCGTTCCCCGCCACCCTGGTGGAATGGGGACGAGAATCCAAATTCCAACTTTGTCAACAGAAGTTGACAAAGATTAACTTTAGGACTACCCTCTAGAATAGGTTTAGGATTAAGTTTAATAAGTCAGTTAAGTAAGTTTAGTTCCTAAGTAGAATCATAAGAATCATAAGAATAATAGCTAGTTTAACAATAGATCAGTTTAATAAGAATTTAGTTTTATAAAACTCTAAATGGAAAGTTAGATAAGGTTAACCTCCAGCTCCCCATGTCCCCAGTCCTGCTTTAATCCCAGCTGGAAATGAAGCCCCAGCAGCCACCCCCTCAAGCCCCTTCCCTTCCCCGCCACCCTAGTTCCATAATAGCTTTAAGTATAACTTTAGTTAAGTTTAATAATTATAAGTGAAAAATAGATAAGTTTAGGACTAACAATTTAGTTTTAAAAAACTCAACCCCAAAACTTTTAGAAAGGTTTCCAGCAAAAAGCCAAGTAGAGTTCAGTAACAGTTTACACTAACAGTAGAGTTACAGTAGAGTTCAGTAACTCTACTTGGAAAAAGCCCAGACAAGTGGTGCCCAATAGAGCGGCTCCCCCACAGCTGAGCCATGCCACACCCCCCTTGCGGAACCCAGGTGGGCCCCCCTTCCAGCTCCCTCGCCCAGTTTCTAAGCTGGACATGACCTTGGGCGGTGCGCACCAGAAAGACAGAACGGAACAGTGTGCAAAGGCCCAGGGGAAAGCACCTAGGAAAGGGAGAAACCTGGACTAGTGTGAGAGAAAGGTCCCGGTCCTTCTGGCTGGACCTTCAAGCGTTCAGCCAGCAGGGCATCGCCCACAAGGTGCCTCAGTCCTGAGGCACGTGGCGTCCTGCTGCTGTCAAAGGCCCTCTCAAGGCGGCTGCTCCAGCACTCCTGGGGCAGCAGGACAAGCCGTCAGGCTCAGAACAGCCCGTGGAGCCTTGAGACCGAAGGCAGCAGCAGAGCAGCAACTGCACGGGGAACGTTCTCAGGTGCAGACACGGCGCAGCTGCTCGGGATCTACTGCGCCCAGAGCAGAAATAAAAGAAAGAGACGATCACACACGACTATTTGCGTGGTAATTCTACAAGGATCTCCCCGGCCCGCATAGCTTGGGAGGCAGGGATTGCCCACCCGCACTGGGGAGGGACAAACCGCTCTGGTGCGGCCGGAGCGCAAGGCCGAAACCCAAAGCCCACGTCCAGTGCTTTCCCTCTTGGAGAAGGCCTTGGGGGTGGTGGAAGACACCTGAAAGGCAGCAACTCGAGAAGCCCATCTTGGCAGAGAGTGCAGCACAAGTCCTCCAGACACGCACGGGGCACCCACAGGATGGGCTCCTCTGCGCCCACTGTTCCGCTGCGCCCGTTGTTCCCACCCAGCTGCAGCACTGGCTTCACACACAGCCTGGGGAGAGCAGAGGGAGCTTTCATCTCCTCTGCCTTCCTGACCCTGCTCGCGCCGCGCAAGCCACAGCAAAAGCATGCGCGGTGCCCAGGGAGCCAGTCCACCCGGACAGTGGCAGCAGCACTGCCCCACCCGCTTGCTGCCTTAGATGCTGTGCCCCGGCTGCTCAGAGGGAAGCATCCCGGCTCTGTCAAATTCAAGGGACTTGGATTCTGTTGCCAAAGCTTTGGTATCTGCAGAGGACCTTGGAGCCGCACAATCCCCAACCGGACTCGGGTCACAGCCTCTCTCCGCAAGCTCCCGTGTCTGTCTGGAGGCGCTGGCAATATTGTTCTCGCCGGGCTGATCCATGCAGAGTCTCTTGCCCGTGTCTCTCTGTGGGAGCTTGTTCTTGCTAAGCAAAACCAATCAGCAAAACCAGAAACTTCTCCTAAGCCCACCTCTGTGGCAGGCCTGGGAAAGCCATGACGTTTGTCTAGGAGCTCTACCGTCCACCCGGCCGGAGCAATTCAAAGCCAACCAGGTGGAGCAGAGGAAGGCCTGCTGTAGGCCTGCTCTGTCCCGTCAGGACTTTCAGGGTCTGCAAGTGAGCTCTCGAGGTGACAGGTAAACTTCCGCCTGGGAGCTCAAGCTAGAGCTGCACCTCCCATCTCCACAGCCCACAGTATCCCTGAGGCACTGTCTTCTGTCTTACGCAAAGCCTTTCCTTCTGCAAGGCCGCTCGGCCTTAGGAATAAAGAGAACAGGCAAGTCCGAGTCTCTGCCCATTGGCGAGGTTTATTTGCTATTGCCGAGGCACACGCCAAACTTTAGCCTCCAGAAGACCAGGCTCAAGCTAAGCCAAGCTTAGTGCCATCTCAAGGCTCCTTTCCAACTCACAGTCCCCTTCTGATTCTGCCAGTCAGGGAAATCTTTGGTCTGTGATGGTTGCAGCTCCTTGCTCACTTCCACAGCTGGGCTGAGCTGGGCTGGGCTGGGCTGGATGGGAGAATGGGCAAATGGCCAGGGGACTTTGTAAGCCAAAGCAAGAGACGGAAGCCCCGTGGGGCCAGGCGCAGTTGTGCCAGTGGGGCCGTCTCGGGGGGCTCGGGGCTCTCTGTGGTGGCTCTGGGGCTTTGTCCGTTTGGCCAAGAGACCCCCCGGGATCTCCCGAGGAGGACTTGGCACTGAGTGTTAGAGAGGATGCCCAGAAGGCCCTGAGCAGGGGGGTGGGGATGAAGGGCGGGGCTTGTGGGCCGGCTGATGTGTCTCTGGTGGCTGTGACATCACAGCGGACAGGTCACAATGGGAGCTGTCCCTAAGGAGCACAGCAGGCAGCCCCAGGGCAGTTGGACTTGGGCGATCAGTGAGTGCAGATGCAGGGGGAAGGCTGGGATGGATGGGGGAGGGGGAAGATGCCCAGGGGGGGTGGTTGTAACCCTGAGCCAAAGCTGAGTCCCTCCCGGCAGGGCCGAGTTGTGCCCCTGGGGCCTGGCACACAGGTGCTCAGGGCTCTCTGTGTTGGCAAGTGCCCAAAGAGCCTTTGGGGATGGGCCGGCTGCCCCCGGCTCCAGGGGACGCTGTGGTGTGGCGGGGATGGGGCCAGGGGAGACTCTGCTCGGCTGTCTCTTGCCTTTTGCCGGGGCACAGCCCAGCCAGGGCCTGACAAGGAGGGTCCCGGCTGGGGCAGGGTGGGCCCTGTGCCGTCTGCAGCCAGGGGCTGCGTTCCCTTCAAGCCTTGATCCCCGTGCTCCCTCCCACCCCGAGCCGCTGGAGAAACTTGTCTCTCATCTCCTGCAGGCCATGGATTCAGCAACTGTGCTCCTCCTGGCTGTGCTGGCCATCCTGCCCAAGCGGACACAGGATCCCCAGAGCGATGCGGTCGCTGTGCAGTGGATGAAGAAACGGCAGATTTTTCTAGAGGACCAGATGACGGAGCTGTGGGAGGAAGTCGAGTGGAGGAGGGCCCTGGAAGATGTTCCACTCCTTTGGATCTTGCAGCACTGGCTCTTCTGGCTGGCTGCAGCAGCTGGGCTGGGCTGGCTGGCCTGGCAAAGGGAGGAGGCCTCTCGCCGGCGCCGTGAGCAAGAAGAGCTCAGCGCAGCAGCCGCTGCTGGCGGGCCTTTTGCAGCGCTCAGCCTGTCACCGCTGCAGGACCTGCCCTTCATGGGCCGGACCCTGAAGAAGCTGCTGCGGGACCTCCTGGAGGTGTGCCAAGTGCTGTCCCAGAACACCTTCATGCCAGAGCTGCACCTGGCCACTGGGCAGCAGGGCACCTGCATGGAGTCCTGGCGTGAGCTGGGGGACTGCACCGTCTACCAGCTGGTGCTCTTCCTCAGGCCACCCCCCTGGCACTCTTTCCGGCTGCAGCTGCCCGAGGCCATGGACGTGCCACACTCCATCCGTGTGCTGCTGGAGTGCTCGTGTTCCAGGACGGCGGGGAACATCTTCTGCTTTGTCCACCCCACCTACAACCATCAGCACTCGCCCCTCGTGCGCACCCTCTGCACAGACTCCCACTTGGAGGTGCAGAAGGTCGCCGGCTGGCTGCCCAGACTGGTGGAATCGGCCTGGGAGCGTTTGCCTCAGTGGCACGACTGGCAGCTCCGGCTGCTGCCCTCCTCCCGCTCCTGCAGGCTCCTGCTGACCGGCCCCGGCCAGGTGCGGCTCTGCGCTGTGCTGCTCTTGGCACTGCAGCAGGGCCGCCCGGGCACCTTCCTGGTCCTGGAATAGGCAGGCGCAGCTTTCCCGGGGGCTGCTTTGGGCCGGGGCTGCGCGGCGACTTGGGAGCGCACCCAGTCGGCACGGCACAACAGACCCTTGTGCTGACTGGACTGAAGAGCAGCAGTCCTGGCTCTGTCTACTCCCAACTCCCCATGTGCCCTGCTCTGCCTTAAGCCCAGCTGCAAATGGAGCACCAGCAGCCACTCCCTCAACTGCCTTCCGTTCCCCGCCACCCTGGTGGAATGGGGACGAGAATCCAAATTCCAACTTTGTCAACAGAAGTTGACAAAGATTAACTTTAGGACTACCCTCTAGAATAGGTTTAGGATTAAGTTTAATAAGTCAGTTAAGTAAGTTTAGTTCCTAAGTATAATAATAAGAATAATAAGAATAATAGCTAGTTTAACAATAGATCAGTTTAATAAGAATTTAGTTTTATAAAACTCTAAATGGAAAGTTAGATAAGGTTAACCTCCAGCTCCCCATGTCCCCAGTCCTGCTTTAATCCCAGCTGGAAATGAAGCCCCAGCAGCCACCCCCTCAAGCCCCTTCCCTTCCCCGCCACCCTAGTTCCATAATAGCTTTAAGTATAACTTTAGTTAAGTTTAATAATTATAAGGGAAAAATAGATAAGTTTAGGACTAACAATTTAGTTTTAAAAAACTCAACCCCAAAACTTTTAGAAAGGTTTCCAGCAAAAAGCCAAGTAGAGTTCAGTAACTCTACTGTAACTCTACAGTAGAGTTACAGTAACAGTAGAGTTACAGTAGAGTTCAGTAACTCTACTTGGAAAAAGCCCAGACAAGTGGTGCCCAATAGAGCGGCTCCCCCACAGCTGAGCCATGCCACACCCCCCTTGCGGAACCCAGGTGGGCCCCCCTTCCAGCTCCCTCGCCCAGTTTCTAAGCTGGACATGACCTTGGGCGGTGTGCACCAGAAAGACAGAACGGAACAGTGTGCAAAGGCCCAGGGGAAAGCACCTAGGAAAGGGAGAAACCTGGACTAGTG